TTTTTTTTTTTTTTTTTTTGGAATTCAAGATGTGGAAGAACAAATAATTCTGTTTCAATTTATGAATTGAGTAATTCTAAGTATAATATTTGTTAATTTTTTCTCTTTTTTTTTTTTCAAATTCTATTGTCTTTGCGGCATTCGGGAAAATTTATTGCACTCATGATTTATGGAGAGAGAAAGAGAAAGGTGAGAAAATTGATTGCGTGCTCCATTTATGGAGAGAGAAACCAATCATTAAGTGAGAGAAAAGTAACTTCGTAGATGTGAAAAATAACATCACATACAAATTCCTTTTTGATTAAACCTTCTTTCCTACGTAGATGCGTAAATATATCTTACATTAACCATACATATGTAAATTTCCCTTAAAATATCTACAAGATTAGCACTACCAAAGGTAATTTTCAAATAATTTGATGTCCCATATGTAAAACACGCCAAATAATAAGTGGATAAAAGGGCATCTTCTTTTCTTTTCCCTTAACGTCGCTCTCATAAATATCATAATATCCACAGGAGTTATCGATAAAAGGGAGAACATTGCAACCCCACAAATCTGTATTATCGGTTCAATATGTTTGAGAACTTCACGTCTCGCATAGATAAAGTAGAAATAAAATCATATTGGATTGGACCAAGTATAATTTTGGGAAAAATAAAATAAAATGAAGTGTAATATCATATGTTAGGTATGAGATTGGTCGGTTATATTATTTGAAGGAACGGGGCCAATTTTTATGAGATGTAATAGGTTGGGTACAGAAGGGATCATATGAGAATGGTATATGGTGAAAGAAATAAGAATGGTTTTGGATCATTGGATCTAACATATCAATGGTTTTGATGGAGTCAAACTTTAAATATTCAGTCAAACATCTTATGGCATTTTAGTAAATATGTGGTCATAGTGTGGTCAATATATATGTTTGACCACTAAATAAGGACATTTATGTCATCTCACACTCCCCACCCACCACCTACCTTGTGGGTCCCACGCCACCTCTCTCTTCCACCCAATACACACACAGATCACTTCACACACACTAATCTATTGGATATCACAACCAAAACATCATTGCCGCCGGCCACCTCCTGCTTCCACCACCAAA